CCATTTTCAGATACTTTGGACTTTTTAGAAAATTTTCCATTATCTAAAGCCAAATTCATGTGGAATTCTTTCATTAAATACTTGATGGATATTTTTATAAAGTCCATATCAGTGCCAAATACTTTTTTAAAGCAAGCTGTTTTTTACCTAAGATACCTCAAGCTTTAACCAGAACTAGTGCAGTCTACAACACATTCACTTCAAATTCTAATCCAGAGAATAAAATGTCTGTGACTTTTGCAGCATCCTCTTATGGGACAGGGTAGCATTTTGAATTACTGCTTCATTAGTGAGAAGTACCTTGAAATACATCCATAGAGTCCCACAGCATATGAGAATAAAATAAGATAATAATGAAAAAACAGAGATTAAATGATGTTGCTCTGTCCATCTATTTCTCTGTCTGTCTGTCTCCCTGCCTATACCAATCTATGATGATTGGTAAATCAAGTGTACAAACACGTGATCTGAAAAGAGACTACTTAGATATTTCATGGCCTGTTTAGTACTGCTATAAGGGCATTTCATATGAGAACATATTGTTCAAAGCTGTGAAAGAAATAACATATCTCGCAAAATGACAGAATAAGGGCATTACTGCTGAATCGACAACATAAAGAACTAGGAGGAAAACATGCCAGAGATGATTTACAGATACAAGAACACTGCTGTAACTAGAATATGTTTTTTTGTCTGCTGAACACCTTATGGAATTTTCTTCCACAAGGTCTGGATCACATTCTTTTTTTTTTTTTTAACACAACGTCTGTGTCGAAAACTTTGTTATAGACAGGGTATTTTTTGAGGAAAAAAGCTTCCTTCTGTTGGAAAAGTCTCTGCTGCTTTATGCTACAAGGAGACTTCCATGGCTATACATCTTTTGTGACTGCAAGATCTTTGGGGCAAGGTCTCTTATCTCTTTCAATGTGTAAGATATACCTTACGCAGTAGGGCTGTGTTCATCATTGGTCGTCTTTTGTTTTGTTGTTTTATTTTGAAATACGGAGTCTGCTTGTTTGGGGTATTCTGTGAGACAGAGCTGACAGCCTGTCCCAAAAGAAAAGAATGAAGTGAAGTCTGTCTTGAAGCCTTTGACATTTGTCCTTTCTCACATGCTGCCTTTCATCTAAAATAAGTCATCTGTAGCGTGAGTACCTGATGGCTCTTTGTGCATGAAGAAATCAGTAACTTTCTGGATTTTAACTTCAGTGAATGGACACTTTTGCACCCTTTTTGTCTTGAACATGAAGCAAAAGTAATCAACATATAAATCTAGGAACACATAGTAGAGCACCCGAACCTCATCCTGTAATGACCTGGAAACTATTGTACAGGTGAAATAACCCATCAGAAAAGGATGGGTTTCACAGGTATGCAGCGTATCTATGAAAAACATGGAACATTCCAAATTTTCCCTGACATTTTTGCCTTTATTAAAAAAATGTCCTTTAAATCAGTTTTTCTCTGATATTGTCTTTAGCTGTTCATCAGCAATTATTTTCCACTTTTCCCCAGTTAACCAGAATTGATTCACAGCAGTTCCTTTCTAGGCTATCTGAATCTGTACTTTCTCCTCAGGAAAAATAACACTTTTTCACAGCTTGCCAATCAAGTTTTGGCAAAAGGTAAAATTACAGCCACAAGAAGATATTCTTTTGTTCATTTTGTCCCCCAATTTTGGTCAAGCTAAGTGTGTTCTGCGGGAGGACACCTGCAGAAGTTACTGAATAGCAAATGGTGTATCAGCTAATTCAAACCTAGAGATGCAATAAACGAGGAAACAGTTTTTGTAGACAGATGATATTTGGGTACTCTGTGGTGTGTAACAGATATGAAATCAAAACAAACATTAAGGAGATTTCAGCAACACTGAAACTCAACCAGCTGGAATAGTGACTGTAGCAAGAAGCCAAGTTCAGGGCAAGGAAGAAAGATAAACAATGACCTGGTGGTGATGGGTGAGCTTCGGTGAAGTTAGTGTCATGCCTTTTTACAATAATATGCTGTTATAGAGAGTTTAAGATCAGAATAAGTAAGGAAAAACTTTAAAAAACTTTAAAAGCAGAGACCACTATGAGATGTTGAAATGCTTCCTGCAAATGCCCCAGTTTTCTTTCTGGAGCTTCAGTGCTTCCATTGTAGATGGTGGCAATGATTGCAAAACAGCAAAAAAAGAATAAAGCTTTGACTTCTGTACAGGATTACTCTGCTCTGCTTTATCCTTGTGCTACTTCCAATACTAGAGAGGCCAATTCCCCTTCTGAACGTGTTGGCAGAAGTTTTTCCTCCCATTCCTTCGGATATGAATCTTCTCTGAACACAAAAGAAGTGACTTCTGGAGGAAGGGAGAGAGAGACAGATAAAAATCCACATTTGGAAAACTCTTCACAATTTTCACGAAGATATTCTTGAAGAAAGGACACAGTAATGAAAGGTCAGAGGGTGAGAACCTGGTGTGGACTTGAAGTGAGCAGCACCCAGACCCACTCCTGCGAGGAATTTCCAGGTGGATGTTGAAGCGTTGCATGATATAGAGGATATCTGCAAGTGATTTGATATCTAGTATGCAGAATCAAGCTTTAATCCACTCAGTGATACATGGATAAGGACACCTGGCCAACATCTGGAAAAACTTAAAACAGGGGGGGTCCAGTGCATTCTTTCAGATAGTTTTTGCCTATTACTGTTTCCCCAGAAATTGTTTCCTGTGTATGCTTCGTTTTCAACTGCATGAAAATAACAATTAGCTTTCCAGATCTCCATTTTGTCAGTTCAGAAGGAGGAAAAAGATGTAGAAGAGTAGATGAATTTGCCCTTCAAACCTTCTCAAGTGCCAAGCAAAGCACAATTACATGAACTGGTAAGAAGTCACGAATGAAGTAAGGATGTTGGCACTCACTAAACCAGGGTAACTGTCCCATTAAGATTAGATGAAGTTGTCTTAACTAAGGGTATCAGTATAGTGAAACAACAAATAGCTGCAAAGTGGGGACACTTATTATGGTCCTATTGAGGTAACATAAAGCAACTTTGGAAGGCTGTTGTGTATGTGGTTGGTGAGGTTTTTTTAAAGATGCTGAGTTTTCTAATGCGGTTAAATGTGATATTACCCTGCGGAGAGTTGGAGCGGAAATAAGTGTCTTCAGGTGGCATTCAAGAAATCTTCTTTCTGGTGGCGTTGTGTCTGAACCAGGAGCAGTCATGGCAGACAAAGGACAGGATGGTGAAAATCTAATCGAAAAGGCACAGTTTGTCCAGAGAAAAAGTCTTCTTCAGCATTGAGATTCGCAAGGCATGAGGCTTGTCTGTTCTTCAGCTGACCAAACTGGGCACAGGGCATGCGCAGCACTTCGTCCAAAAAGCCAGCCTGAGACACAGAGGTGGCTTTTGTGTTAGCCCTGAGTTTGTTGGCAGTACATGGGTTTTGAGAGTGAAAAGACTGCTGGAGGGCAAGACATTTTTTTAATAAATGGATTTGGTCTCTGAAGCAATTATTCTGTGATTGCCTGGCAAGGACATCTCTGCCCCAGAGCTTTCTGCTGGAAGGCAGAAGCAGCTCTAATGTGAGTGACAGGTACAACACTGGTAAAAGAGTTGCCCTTCACTAAATTTTTAGGGATACTGTGCTTTTTAAGTAAGGCAATCTGTCTTTAATAATGTTATGACACACAGAAGTACTGGGAACAAAATGATCTTTATTTTCTGGCTGTAGTAACATGACAGTGTCATGCCCCCCCGGAGGGGGGCAGCAGTGCCTCAAGTCTTCGTCCAGCAACAGCCGGGAGCGCCGGATTGGACCTGGCAACCGCCCACACAGTAACGGTACTCGATTCCTCGGTTCACCTATTGTCAACGAATGTTTCGGGACCCTTACCCCCTGGAACACAAGCGCTATTGTTAGGAAGGTCGTCTACAACTTTGTCGGGACTCTTTGTGTTACCAGGAGTCATTGACTCTGACAGTACTGATGAGATTAAGATCATGGCATGGACCCCGTTCCCCCCCTGCACAATACCTAAAGGTAGCTGTATAGCGCAATTAATACTGATTCCCAAGGAGATGGGCTCCCCCATTCCTACCCAGTCCCGACAAAGGCGGGGAGGCTTTGGGTCTACGGGGAACCCACAAATTTTATGGGTGCAGTCCATTTCCCAGAAGCGACCTGTATGTCAATGTACCCTTATCCGCAGGGGACAGCAAGTAGTGTTAAATGGAATCATTGATACTGGAGCTGATGTTACGGTGATCTCTCAGGCTAAGTGGCCCCCACAATGGCCTCTGGCTGATATTTCCCAGGCATTGGCAGGGATTGGAGGAACTGGTAATAGCCAACAAAGTTTAGAATTGATCCAAATTAAAGGCCCAGAGGGGCATATAGCCTCTGTTAAACCTTTTGTGTTACCTGTTCCTATGATTCTGTGGGGACGTGATGTGCTGTCACAGTGGGGAATGTCCATTCGGACGCATTTTTAGATGGGGTCATTGAAGTGCGCGACACCCTAAAATTAACATGGAAAACAGATTCCCCTATTTGGGTAGATCAATGGCCCCTACCACTGGAAAAGCTTTGCGCTCTCCAAGAATTAGTTACGGAGCAGTTAACGAAAGGGCATATTGTGCCCTCCACTAGTCCTTGGAATTCACCTGTTTTTGTAGTTAAAAAACAAACTGGCAAGTGGCGCCTGCTCCATGACCTCAGGAAAATTAATGATGCTATGGAAGATATGGGAACCCTCCAACCAGGACTCCCGTCCCCCACTATGATTCCTCGAAATTGGTATTTGACGGTTATTGACCTTAAAGACTGCTTCTTTAATATTTCTCTGCATCCAGATGATGCTCCTAAATTTGCTTTTTCAGTCCCAAGTATCAACATGCAAGCCCCGTTGCAGAGATACCAGTGGGTTGTGCTGCCACAAGGAATGAAGAACAGCCCTACAATCTGTCAATGGTATGTAGCTAAAGTGCTTAGTCCTGTCAGGTCCAATGTTTTATTGTACCACTATATGGATGACATCCTGGTGGCTGCACAACATCACGAGGTCATGGAGGAAGCTGTAGCCCTTGTCATGGCTGCTGTTAATTCAGCAGGCCTCTGTATTGCGCCGGAAAAAATTCAGAAAATGCCGCCATGGAAATACCTAGGCTGGCGCATAAGAGCTCAAACTATAATTCCTCAATCTTTACAGATAAGAACAGATATAAAAAACTTGCATGATGTGCAAAAATTACTGGGGACAATCAACTGGGTTCGACCACTGTTGGGGATCTCTAATGTGGAATTGAGTCCTTTATTTGAATTACTTAAAGGGGACACAAATTTAAGTTCCCCCCGTAGCCTTGGCCCTGAGGCTATTGATTCTCTGCAGAAGGTTGCTGCAGCAATTGCTCACCGGCAAGCACATCGATGGGCTCCTGAGCTGCCCTTTAACCTAATAATTTTAAATCCTGCTCGACAGCCTCATGCAGTAATGTTTCAATGGGATCCTCAGAAATCAGATCCACTATTGATCATCGAATAGGTTTTCTTGCCAAACCAACCTACGAAAACTATCTTGACACAGCATGAGATGTTTTCTTCCCTGATTATCAAAGCTAGGCAGCGTCTGTTAACGTTGTCAGGGATAGATTTTGCATCCATTTGCTTACCAGTGACAGAAGTGTATTTATAGTGGCTTTATCAGCAATCAAATGCCCTTTGCATGGCATTGGCAGGTTATGTGGGTCAACTCACATCTCACCCACCACCACATAAACTATTTAACAGTAATTTCTCTCTGATACCCAAACCTAAAAGGAGTGATTTGCCATTACAAGCCCTCACTGTATTTACCGATGGATCTGGAAACTCACATAAATCAGTTATCTTGTGGTGGGATGACCAACGGGGGCAATGGAACTCAGACATAGAGACCGTCCCTGATTCTCCTCAAATAGTAGAATTGACTGCAGTTGTTCGAGTCTTTCGAAAATGGTCTATGCCACTTAACATAATTACTGATTCTGCTTATGTTGCAGGAATTGTTGAACGTGCAGAAGCGTCTGTACTGCGTGATGTTTCGCATTCTGACTTATTTGCCTTATTGCAAGAGCTTATCTTTCTTTTAGATTCGCGCCCTCATCCCTATTTTATCATGCATGTCAGGGCACATACCTCTTTACCTGGATTTATTGCAGAAGGAAATCGACAAGCAGATTTATTAACACTACAGGTACAAGTATTGCCAGATCGTATAGCGCAGGCTAAGCTTAGCCATTCCTTCTTTCACCAGAACGCTGGAGGTCTCAAACGACAGTTTGGGCTCACTTCCCAGCAAGCAGCAAATATAATCGCAGTATGTCCAGACTGTCAAAAACATTCTTTTCCATCAATAGCAGGAGGAGTTAACCCCAGAGGTCTGCAGAGCTTGCAACTATGGCAAACAGATGTCACACATTATTCGGAATTTGGTAAATTGAAATATGTACATTCCTCTATTGATACTTTCTCTGGTGCTTTGTTTGCTTCTTGCCACACAGGGGAGAAGTCACGCGACGTCCACAAACATTTAATGCGTGCTTTTGCTACCCTAGGCGTACCCTCTCAAATAAAAACGGACAATGGCCCTGCATATACCTCGGCTACAACAAAAACCTTTCTCGACTCCTGGGGTGTGACACACATTACTGGCATCCCTCATTCTCCTACAGGTCAATCCCTAATAGAACGCTCTCACCAATCTTTGAAACGTTTATTACAACAACAAAAAGGGGGAGTAGGAACTGCTACACCGGAGGAATGTCTACAAAAAGCTTTATATGTTTTTAACTTTTTGAATTGTTCTTTGTTAGATAATAACCCTCCAATAGTTCGACATTTTAACATGAATGATTCACTTGAGGCAAGAATTAAGGCCCCAGTGCTGGTTTGAGATCCTGAAACGGGTAAGATCATGGGACCGTATCCCCTTATCACATGGGGCAGAGGTTATGCTTGTGTCTCCAGAGAAAGAGGCCCTAGATGGCTTCCAGCAAAGTGTACGGCCTTTCCGTGAATCCCTACAACAACCAACTACTGAGACCTCTGATTCTTCTCCGGACCACCCCTCCAAGCAACAAACTGACAGATCTCCAGAGGAAGGTCGGGACGACGTAAACTGAGCACCGCAGGCGAAAAAGGACTATATATGAACTAGTGCAAAGAAGTATGAATTGTAGAAATTTCTTGTACTTTTTGTAATACCTGTGACCCTTGGTCCTGTGTACATGTCACACTTGTAAGAGGGAATGGTGGTGTAGGGTGACACTTGCTAGCTGTTGGTGTAATAACTGCCTCTGGTGCAGTGGAACCTCTAGCTTCTCGTTTTCGCCTGCACTGCCTAAAGTTAATGTGTGGGTAACTCTAGCAAACCTCAGTGGACAAGACACTTTGTGTCTTGCTACTGCCTCTCCTAATAACCCCTTTTCCACATGCCTTGTGGGTTTGCCGCTGGATGTATGGCCAATACCTGCAGCCGCCCAACATGCGTTTCCAATTAGAAATGTGTCAAAAAATGTGACTGATAATTGGGATGGGTGGACCCACTATCTCCCAACTGCTAACCTAGAACCGCAAGAGATTGAGCTTCTCGGATCAGTAAAAAAGGATTTTTGTGTCAAATTCAACTACACGGGTAAGAATCTGTCTAAGGCATGGGATGTCTCCCCTGTCCATCCTGTGTTTAGAAACGCCACTGCATGGTGTAATTATACGTCAGCAAACCTATCTAAATCTGGTCAAGTTCCCCTATCCTTACCACCAGGAATATTCCTTATTTACGGGGACTTATTTGCTTGCATCAAGCTGAGTCCCATCTCTTAATCGCGGCAGACTCCCTCGACCGCCGCGCCGTCTACTTTCTGCTGTACATTCCACTAAACCTTACCTGGTCCATAAGGTTTTACCTCACACTTCTCACCTCTGCTCCTCTCAAACACCTTGACCCCCACAGCTGAATCCCCCCCAAAGCTGCAGGTCACTGAAGACTCAGCAGAGCTCTAACCCCACTGAAGTCCCAGAGCAGAACGAGCTCCCTCCACAGGGGCTGTGGCTTATGTACCCCGGGCCCTGCCCACCGCCCTCCCTACCATCACCTGGGACAGGGCAGGGCCAACTCCCCAGAAGGCATAAAGGCAGCCGGAGGAGCTGCAGCTACTGCTTTTTTGCTGTCCCTTTTACAGGCTGTGGAGCTTGAAACAGAGGAGCGAATCCTTCTGGAGATAACAGTATCTGCTCTGTGACTGCAGCTACATCTGTTCTGTCAGCAACATGACTGGGTAGGTAATGAAATGTAATTTTTCTGGGGTGCAGATAGAAAGAGATGCCATAGTTAGCTATATATATGGTAGCTTATTAAATGTAATGATTGTTATTATCAAATGATCACCTCAATAATCTCCCTTTGATTGATTTTCTTAACAGAACTAGAATAGTCCCAAAACCCATAGAAATACAAGAAATGCATCGGAAACTACATGAAGCAGTCTAAGTATCATCTAAGTAGCTAAAATGAAAATAAACTGTAAGGGAGAACAAAAATTCTGGTTAGAGATCCGTCAATAACAATACATGAAAGCTATCTAAGAGGAGGTCTAATATAATGATAGATATCTTTGGGTTCCTGATTTGAAATAAAGAAATGCTGTAAGACAGAACTGAATTAGACTGCAGTGGACCACACAGGTAGCTCAGGAAAAAAATGTGACAAAATAAGAGGCTTTGTCAGAGAGACCAAAGAAGTCTCAAGGATGCAAGCAATGACCTCAAAAGAGACTCCCTCGACCGATGCTCCGTCGGTCGACTCCCTCGTCATGTACTCGGCACTGGTAAGACCCCATCTCGAGTACTATGTCCAGCTTTGGGCCCCCTACCACAAGAGGGACATTGAGGTGCTGGAGCGGGTCCAGAGAAGGGCAACGAAGCTGGTGAGGGGTCTGGAGCACAAGTCTTACGAGGAGAGGCTGAGGGAACTGGGGTTGTTCAGTCTGGGGAAGAGGAGACTGAGGGGAGACCTTATTGCTCTGTACAAGTACCTGAAAGGAGGCTGTAGAGAGACGGGGGTCGGTCTCTTCTTCCAAGGTACAGATGATAGGACAAGGGGTAATGGCTTCAAGTTGCACCAGGGGAGGTTCAGGTTGGATATTAGGAAACATTTCTTTACTGAAAGGGTTATCCAGCAGAGGAATGGGCTGCCCAGGGAGGTGGGGGAGTCACCATCCCTGGAGGGATTTAAGAAACGTGTAGACATGGTTCTTCAGGGCATGCTCTAGTGCCCAAGATTACTGGTGTGTGTGGTTGCTCTTTTTTTTTTTTTTTGTGGTTGGACTCGATGATCTCTGAGGTCCCTTCCAACCACTACGATTCTGTGATTCTGTGATTCTGTGACATGGGCCTGAGGTTATAGCCAGTTACACTTCATCCAGTGGCTCTTATGGTTATTGTTATAAAGCTTTATCCTTGTTATCATCAGAATGGTCTTGAATTCATTTTTTCCTATTCTCACAGTGCTGCAGCCAACATGGCCTGTACCGTTCTGTCAGATATGTTGGAATTGTACCATGTGGTTTAAAGCAGATTCTGGGAGAAACTTCAGCCCACATAGAAAGTCTTCTCACTGCTTAGCCTTATTCCAGTCTAAACCGGCACCAGTGTTTAAAAAAATAAAAATGACTATGCAGCTGCATGCTTGCAAACTGAGTACAATGTACACGTGTTTACAGAGTGTAAAAAAAAAAATCAATCTATTTTATTAGGCTGTATTTACAGCCACCAGGCACTTTCCTCTCTCCTGGGAGTTTGGAGATAGTCTTCAAATGATCCTTGGCTTTACAAGGCATGAAAATAAATTTGGAGCTAAAACAGGCAGATTCTTGGCAGGGTTTTTCTTTCACTCTGCCCTGTGCAACTATCAGTGCAAACCAGGGCCAATGTCTTTGGCTGCAAAAAAGAAAGGGCTTATAAAAATAGTACCACAATGTTTTGTGCAGGGTGTGTGGCCATAGTCATGTTAAAAGTATAACACAAGTATTGTTACAATACGCTGTCTATACAAAGAATTTGCTCAAGTCAAATGATCAATTTTTAAGTTAACTTAAAATTACAGTAGGACTGGCCTGTATGTTCAAGAATAACTGTTGCACTAGATGAGAAAATGAAAGACCAACCACTTCTAAGGATTTCTGAAATGTTACAGTCAAGTTCCCATCTGTGTCTGTGCATGAACTGGCCGGGACAGAGGAGAGCAAGGCGAGAGCTCTCCTTTTGCAGTTCAAGGGGAGCCGCAGAGCTGCTCTCTGGTGACCAAGGAATTATCTGACCTGCAGACATCTGAACCTCCCCGCATCCTTGCAGCCACACCTGTGCCAGTCATCTTCCCACTGGTCTGCTGCAATGAGGTGATGAAAAGCAATGCCCGAGTTGTACCCTTTCCGAAAACACAGAGAAAAGAACGAAGAAAGGAAAGGTCCCGCAACAGCTCACTTATCCTCAGGGCCTTCTTGGGATGTTGGCAGTTTAAGCAAAGAACTTGATCTTCCACAATTAATAGAGTCCTGTAAACAACCAATTTAAAATCAGGTGGATAACTCTTTACAACACAAGAGACTTGAGGGAAAACAGAGAAACTGAGTAAAAAGATAATAGTACTGTTCAGAGAGAATGAAGAACTGGGATATGGCCCAATATATCCTACGTTCATCAGTCACGAAAAGCAGCATTTATTTTCTATCACAATGATATCCAAGAAATACTGTCTCCTGAAGTGACAATTAGTTATGGTGGGGTAAAAGTTGCAAGAATTCTCTCAGTGGTTTGCACTGAATTATTTCCTGGGGTGGGTAATAAAATATCATGCTACTTCTCATCCTGTCTGAACACTTCTCGTCCTGTCTGAACATGTGTTTTTGTTCTTCTTGGAAACATCTAAATTTTTGGATTCTTTGTTATCCACCACAAGACCTTCTGACACTAGAAATTTATTTTAAAGAATGATTAGTAAGGTTGAATTTTCCAATTCTCCCACATAGCAAAAGGCAATACTCAAATTTGCTTCAAGGTGCACAGGATCAGATGGTGGGTAATTTCTGCAGAGTCTGGGTTATTCTGGGCTGGCTGCTGCTAGACCAGCAGGCAGCAGGGTGACATTGATTAGATGCTTTTCATCCGCCCCCCGGAGGACAAACCGATGACATTTGGGTATCTGACAAATGTAAATGTTTTGAAGATACGTGGTGCACTGCCCTTCATACAGGCAGTAGCACAGTTTTACTGGTCTCAGGCTTTAAGTCCCCCTGGACTTTTGCAGCAGCCCCAAAAGGCAGCAGTTGCAGAAGCACAGCAAGAGGTAGCCCCCCTGGCTGAGAACAAGGATGGGCAGCAGCTCTCCTGGGCACCTGGAGACAGGGAGGAAACGAGGAAACAGCAGGCAGCCAGGAATCTGGGCACGCTGACTCTAGTTGTTGTGCAGCCCAGGGTGGGCTTCCCTTCTCCAGGACTGTCCCCAGCTTCCTTCGGCAATGGCCCCTTATAGAAGGGCGTTGCACAAACCCCATCCTTGGATCAGGTTCCTCATTTATAGTAATAAAGCTGTAGCTGGAAAAAAAATGGTTTCATGAGGTCTCACTATTGAGGGATCATAGCAAACGTTCACAGGACTGCCATGGGGGTCCTGGTGGGACTAATGATATTTGTTTAGCTAAACGCTTGGTTATGGGAGAAAAACAGATTCAGAGTTTGTTACTTTTTTAAATAAACCAAGGATTTCTGTCGGTCTCAAACAAAGCCAAAGCTCTTTGAAACACAGCTTTCAAAAGTCAAAATAGGTTTTTCTACAATTTCTTCTGTTCCCTCATTTGAAGGCAGTGTTTCAGTTTAACTGCAGTCGGTACTCGTGTG